TTTAATAAAATTTTCCATTTTAAATTGGTTATTTCTGATGTATATATAAAAGCAAATAATAATGATATGGTTTGAATAGGTAAATTAAAATTTTTTAAGTTCTTAGACCACATTCATTCTGTGTCAGAAACCTATGCTGTGTCAAATATTTAATCACAATCCAAATTCAGAGCTGTATCAAGCTTGAATGTTGTGTCCATACTTGCCCCAACTGTTCAGGGTTTGACCTCTGCGGTCGTATCAAGCTGCGCCCAGCAGAGCATTTTATTACATGTTTATTTCAGTTAAATTTGAAGCATTTTAAGGATTTAGACATTTCTACACTAAATGGCATTAGATACAAAAGGTCCCATGCCAGGTAACTTCAAATGGGACTGTAAGACATTAAGAGAAATGGTTAAGCGCTTCGGACGCATGAAATTATTAAATGTGTTGTTTTCAATTTTTTAAGCAGGGTTAAAAAAAAAAAACTCAATACTACTTATATATTTTTGTACTGAACAATAATTTTTTAAGTTGACAATTGCTGATTTGAGAATGACTCTTAAGAAGAAAGTATATTTTATTTGATTATGTTAGTCAGTAAGAGTAGAACGTATAAATGATTTTGGGAGAGGGGTTCGAAAAAAATTTAAGAAAAAATTGGGTTCCCGCAGTTGCTTGCATATCAGTTTTTTAGTTTATTGAAATACAAAAAATATATATCAAACAAATAATCTTTTCTTTTTTTTTTAATAATTATATATCAAGTATTATTATATACTTAGTAGTAAATACAGATAAATTGTATGTGTAATACAATCATTGGCAAGCGTGCTGTATCAGCCACCCGTGATGATATCGATATCACACCTTTAATCTGTATGACGTCACGTCATCGATTGCAGTCACTGTTGCAAAGGCTTTATCAAACCCCTTCATCTGTATGACGCCATGCCAAACCTATAATCTGTATGACGTCATTTCAAACCTTCTTACCTGTATGACGTCATCTCACATAAAATAAATCTACCTGAGGTATATGTATATAATAAAGTGTATATGATATGGCTTTTTCAATATCACACACCGTATCAACCCTCAACCAATATAATCCCTCGAGCAGAGCTCTTGGGATTATATTGGTGTCTCGGGTTGATACGGATGTGATATTGAAAAAGCCATATGATATTCTCTATTAACGATGTTATTGACTTTAAGTAGTATCCTGTTGTTCTTTAAAAATGTTGTTGTTTTGCTAAGTAGTATCCTGTTGTTCTTTAAAAATGTTGTTGTTTTGCTAAGTAGTATCCTGTTGTTCTTTAAAAATGTTGTTGTTTTGCTAAGTAGTATCCTGTTGTTCTTTAAAAATGTTGTTGTTTTGCTAAGTAGTATCCTGTTGTTCTTTAAAAATGTTGTTGTTTTGCTAAGTAGTATCCTGTTGTTCTTTAAAAATGTTGTTGTTTTGCTTTGTAAAAATACCTAAAGATCAATTTACATCTTTGAATGCACACAAAATCTAGATAAAAAATACGTAGATTTATCTGCAAAATAAGGATTGACATTCCTAAAAAAATTGTCAGATTTGGTTAGACTATATATGGAAAAACCAGTATGTGTGAAAAGAAACCAAATAAAAAATGTGAGGATTTAACCAAACTTGGCCACAATCATTATTAGGGTAAAATACAAGTTTTGCCAATTAAATGAAAAAACCGTGAGAAATAAATAGAGAAAATCAAACAGGGGCGAAATGTTTTAGAATGTTGAAATATACCAAATGTCCATTTAAGTCAAAATGTCAAATGATTTCTCATAGCAGTTATTGCCCTTAAATGACAAATGTTATCATTTTTATAAATTTTTGTCTATTATCTCAAAAATTAAAACAAATAGATAGAAACTTTAAAAAGCAAAAATGATCAGGAAGACAAGATGAACAAATAATTCAACATAACCAGAATTGTTAGTGGAAAAAAAAAAGAAGAATCTTAGTCATGAATTATATTCTAGTCTATAATGTTGGAGAGTTGCCATTGTTGAAGATGCACATAGATCCAGAAGAACCGACAGAGGCTCTTAAGAGCCTCTAGTTTTATTTTTGCATATTATCTTGAAAACTATAATTGACAGACGGAAACTTGGTACATCAAAAATGATCAGCCAGATTCAGTCTTCATTTAGCACAAATATTCTTGTTGTATTGTATCAATTTTATGCAAAAATGTCAGATGACTGATACATGTTCCTTGGAGCCTCTAGTTATATCTTTGAAACTTTTGAAGTCCTTTAAGTTATTAGACTTCTTAAATCTAACATCCCCATTTTTTAGAGCTAAGTTTTTTCTGTATTTATTTTTATTGCTTGTTCTTTTATGTTCCTTTTGTAAGTTAACTGAATGGAATAAGGGAGCTACCATTTGATTATTATGGGGGGGCTAGGATGAAAAATTTGGTCCTGCATTTTTTTTTTAGTTGTAATCTCTGTCCTGCCTTTTTATTTTTCACTCTATTTGGTCCTGCATTTTTTTTTATTACTTTATCCTGCCTTTTTTTTACATAAATTGTCATCCTGCCTTTTCTTTTTGCCAAGTTGCTCATCCTGCCTTTTTTTTTACTCAAAACTCCTGTCTTGACCTTTTTTTTCAAATTTCATCCTAGCCCCACCCCCCTCCCCATAAAAATCAAATGATAGCTCCCTAAGTGTAAACAATATTTTATTGTGAAATTAATGATATAAACATTACAAATATGACAGTTTTATCAGGATATTGGAAAACAATTGAATTATAACTTTTACAAATTCCTCTCCTAGATTGGGATGAAAAGCGGGATTGAGATATCAAGAAACTAGTTTAATTCATTCACATATGCCTATATTTAGGATATCTCATCAGTGGTTGTCTAATGCTTTTATTTTTATTTGCAAAATTTAGAATTTATGGAAAATCTTTGAAACTTTTATTTTTATTTTTTTCTCACCTTTGTTAGACTTTGACTATTTAGAGCTTGGCATTTTGACAAGAAAACTTTTGATAGTATGTGCCATTGAGTCTCTGTTTCATTGATGTAAACGGCACATCTCCTTTTATCCACATATAGAACTTTTTTCAGTGAGACAAGACAAGCTGCGACTCTTAAAATTGAAAATTAAAATTGATCGTAAGTTACCGGTATACTGAAATGTGTATGACTTACTATTAATTTTACTCTTAAGATTTTTTGTGAAAAGAGCCACAGATCTGTTTCCAGATTTATTGTTACCTCATTAATAAGGGATCTCGGTGGCCATGTGGTCTAAGTAGTTCAACTACTATACCACTAGCCTTCCAATACTGAGGTTGTGAGTTTGAACCCCACATGTGGCAGCTGTGTTCGAATCCAATATTAATTGACTAGGATTGTCAGTTTTCCTACCAAATCAATGGTTTTCTATGGGCATTCTGGCATCTTCCAACAATAGAAGTTGAACGCCACAATATAGTCAATAATGCTGAAAGTGGCATTAAACACCATCAATCAATCTTTCAATATCACTAAAAAATTAATCTCACGTCTTACCTCATATAGTAAAAATTCTAAATTTTAATATTTTAGTCCATAGAATATGTATTTAAACTTACATTCCTAAGTCACACTTCAAAAGTATTCATTTTTAATGTTTATTGTATTTGTGATAACTTGTGAATTATTTGTGATAAGTTGTTTTTCATTACATAATACAAAACATAAGTTGCTTTCATGAATATTCATAATTTTGTAGTATGCAAGTACTCAATACATTTATTTAGTATTGAAATTCTTAAGTTTATGCATGTTAATCTCTAAAACTATATAAATCTTGTGAAAAACCAACAAATGAAATAGTTTTAATTTTTTTCTGGCATTTCCTGAATGCATGATGCTTATTTGACAGGAATAAATTTAAATGGATAAATTTGAAATCAATAGAATTTTAAATGATATGTATTTTAATGGAGGATGGCTACATGTGTTGTATAAGAACATCGTGTATTAAAAGTCTGTTACTTTATTTAAAACTTTGAATACAACACTTGCATAATTTATAGTGGGCATTTATATTTTGACATACATAATTATTATCAATGTGTACGTTACATGAAAGCATGCTGGGTAACTACTGGAACCAAAAAATGTCTCCACCTTTTATGCAGTTTTTATATAACAGAGGTAAGAGATTTTTTTTAAATTTTATTTTCAACCCGTAAATACATGGCGTATCCCGATGTAAATCAAGTGTATTAAAAACCTTTAAAGTCTGGTGCACCGAGAAGCTTGAATTGAAGAAAGGCTATTAACAGACAATGACATTTGTGCAGTTTAGAAAGCGATTTGGGCGGAATGGTGTCGCCTTGCAGCATTATATAAGGATTTAATGTTATTTCATATTATTAATTTTTATCCTTTAAAGTCATAATAGGTTGTAATTTTTTACTTAAGAGGCATTTATGCCAAATCATAATTGGAATTAGACCACACATTTTTTTAAAAGAAGGGGGTTGAGCATTCAGCTGTTCATAATGTCCAATGAAAGTAAAACACAAAAACGAATTTTATTAAAATAAATACCAAAAATGTAAAATATAACTAATGACTTCTTTTATTGTATAAGGTACTTAAAAGTTGCATAAAAGGTGCGACACTGCATGACGCTGTTTGATATAGTAAAATATTGGTTGTCATCGAAGTGCATTAATGTGCAATTGCATTTTATATATGCATTTATCCATGTGGTAAGTCAAAAGAAGGGAGAAACAAGCATGTAATTTCATCTTTTGTTAATCACAGTCTAGAAAAGAAATAAGAGCTGAATTCATCTTGATTAGAATGCATGTGCGCATGTGCAATGGTGTTTTTATCAACGTTTATGGTATTTAACAACTGAAAACATGCACCATTCAACATGGATAAAAAAAGTTGGTCCGGCCTCTTCCCTTTTGATGTATTTTAAAGGTATGTTAAACAGTCAGCTATGCTTTGTAATCATTTTCCCAGACAGCAAAATAATTTGTACTCGAAACCAAGGCCAGACTTCGAATCGATACAAGGCCTCCAATCAAATCCTACTTAGATATGTTGTACCCCAGTTCGTCTCACCTGAAACTGTAAGGTTATTCCAGGATTATTGTTGGAGATTCAGATTATATAACCTGTTATCTGTCTGAACCGCCTCTTTTAATTCACGCCATTAGACCATTTTCCAAGTTCTACATGTTGCGGGACTTCTTTTTCTGTTGACCTACATTTGAATATGTAATCCGAATAGTTACAGTTGGTTTATTAATCCTCTTGAAAGTTTTGCGAATATGTCGTTTTTTGTTTGTTTCGAAAATGCTTTTAAAGATTGAACTTTTTAAGTTGATATAAGTGATTGTCGCTGCAACATTTCATAATTTTGTGACCCCTTGATTTGATGGAGCGTGATAATGTGTTTTTTTCTTGTGGGAGGCCAAGGACGCCATTTTGGTTTTTATGTAATTTCAATTACAAGAACAGTTATGTTAACTAAGAACGCCTTTGTTATTGTTTCCATAGCGACAAAAAAGTATGAGTAACAAAACCAGCTTTTTTTTCGAAGGCATAAAGCTCATTCGATTTTAGGCATTTTATGGAAAATACAGAATTGCAGTTCGGTTTTTGGTTAATAAGACGTTGTTACGCATGCCCATGTCTGGATTTTTACTGTGAAGATATCCCTGGACATAATGCAGTATCGTGGTATGCTTCGAGACTTTTATTTGAACAGCTACTGTTTTTTTGATAGAGGTAGGAAGTAGTTGATATTTTTTGTTCTTTCGTTTCGTTAACAAGTATTTGTCGCGTCGATGTACATAATTAGCGCAGTGCGAAACGTTAATGTTTGACTTGTTGCGTTGCCATTTTAAAATTTAAATGTGGCAAAAATGGCGCATATTTACAGAGGGTGGTTTTTTTTTCTCAATTACTAAAAAAAAAAAATAGCCACAATTTTTATCCGAGGGAGGATAGAAATATATTTTAGATTATTTCGTATTCGTATTTGTTGCGCTAATATGCATGGGTATCACAGTTGACGAAATATTGATAGTTAGTTCGCAGCCATATTTAATTTTGAATGTTAATGAACGAAAATGGCGCTTGACATTATTCACACGAAGTGTTTTATTTTTTTAAATGACTACATGAATGATCATTACTTTCATAATGGCGTGTACATATGTATATAAGAAAGGACAGCAAATACGAAGTCCGTTGTTTTAAGCGGGCAAAATATATTACGTTTGCACTCGTTCATTGATCGCTGGCGGTTAAATTTGTGATGGTAAGAAGTGTCGGCCTAAATTATTTTCTTTGGTAACATCGCATTAGTGTCATTGTTTTCAGCATTTTCGTCGTTAAACATTTATTAATCTATATTAAAACTGAATCAAAAGTATTTTTCCGGTTTCTTTTTGTTTTTTTTGGTTATTTGGGTTGTTAGGTCAATTGAACTGTTGTTTTCTTCAAACACACATAACGGTTAATATTGTTGTTAGAATTTTCTGTATTACATAAATAAAGCCATTGCGTCTGTATATGATTTCTTGAAAATTTGATAGTCATTTTTTTCTTTTTTGGTCAAAAGATGGTATAAAATGTAAAATGTAGCCAACAATATGTTGCCTTTTTACTTTATTTTGTAAGTAAATCCAATCTTTTTTTTTTTTAAATGACTATGAATGATGTTAATCTTAAATCATTTTACCTTCATAATGGCGTGCACATATGTATATAAGAAAGGACAGTAAATACAAAGTCCGTTGTTTTAAGCGGGCGAAAATTATTACGTTTGCACTCGTTCATTAATCACTGGCGGTTAAATTTGTGATGGCAAGAACATTTTTGTTGGCCTAAATTATTTTCTTTGGTAACATCAGTGTCATTGTTGTCAGCATTTTCATCGTTAAACATTTATCAATATTTATATTAAAACTGAATCAAAATTATTTTCTGGTTTCCTTTTGTTTTTATGTTTATTTGGGTTGTTAAGGTAAACAGAACTGTTGTTTTCTTCGTACACACATAACGGTTAATATTATTGTTAAAATTTTCTGTATTACTTAAATAAAACCATTGCGTATATATGATTTCATGAAAATTTGATAGACTTTTTTTCTTTTTTGGTAAAAAAATGGTATAAAATGTAAATGTAGGAAAAATATGTTGCCTTTTTTCTTTATTTTGTAATTAAATCAAATGTAGCAAAAAATATGTTGCATTTTTACTTTATTTTGTAAGTAAATCCAATCTTATTTATTTTGCGCTAAACTGTATTGAATAAAACAAACAGAAAGTTTTTACAAGTCAAATTAAATCATTGCAACTGAATAAAATTTCCTGAAAATAGATATTATAAGACATGGTTTCAAATGTAACATTGAGCACGAACAATGTGTTAATTTTCCTTATTTTTTTGTGAAATTGACAATTTGTTTTGCACAAAAAAAACTGTTGAAATTATCATTATTTTAAATTTTATTAATCTTTAATAGTCATAATCCACTTCATTTGAACTTTGGTGGATAGTTGTCTCATTGGCAATCATACCACATATCCTTATTTTTACATAAGATTTAAAAATTTCATGGCAGTTAGACAACAGCTATAATTTTTACATTGAAACAACAGTTCCCAATGTAAATTAAGCCAAGTTCTCCAAAAGTGGTGGTCAGAAGGTTTTGACCACCAAAATTTTGCAACGGACTCAAAGGCCACCAGGGAAAAAAAGATTTTGAGAACTCTGAATTAAGTACTTTTATATTTTGAAATGGACTTTACTAATAGAATTGAGAATGGAAATGGGGAATGTGTCAAAAAGACAACAACCCGACCAAAGAGCAGAAAACAGCCCAACGCCACCAATGGGTCTTCAACACAGCGAGAAAATCCCGCACCCGGAGATTTATTTATTACACATCAACATCTGTTATTCAATGTTTTAAAGCATGAATGCCAATGTATGAATGGGGATTAAAGTGAGGATCTGAATTAGACTTTTTCAGAAGTCAAAAAGAAAACCATTAGTAAGGGAGCTACCATTTGATTTTTATGGGGGGCTAGGATGAAATTTGAAAAAAAAGGCAGGACAGGAGTTTTGAGTAAAAAAAAAAGGCAGGATGAGCAACTTGGCAAAAAAAAAAAAGGCAGGATGACAATTTATGTAAAAAAAAGGCAGGATCAAATAGAGTGAAAAATAAAAAGGCAGGACAGAGATTACAACTAAAAAAAAATGCAGGACCAAATTTTTCATCCTAGCCCCCTCCCATAATAATCCAATGGTAGCTCCCGAACAAAGATTTTTAAAAAATGGTTGTCTACATTGTCTTATCTTCTTCAAATCTTGAATTTTTTCATAATGAATGAATTTAGATACATATGGTATTTTCAATTTTGGGAATATAGAGTTCGGTCATTTTAGTGCTTGACATATTATATGAACACTTGTCAGTTGTTGAGAAGACCATATGCTGACCCGTGGATGTCTTCCTTTTTTTTGTTTTGTCTTTGGTTGCTTTCTAATTGACATTACATATATTTCATATAATTCCTTTATTGTAGACCGACTAATTTTTGTGAGCAATTTATTATCGTGACTAGTAAAGAAACATGAATAAAAATCATTACAAATATGTAAAACACTATGGTGCCCTTTGGCTGTTTTCTGCTCTTTGGTTAGCTTGTCTCTTTGACGCATACCTCATTTTCATTCTCAATTTTGAAAATTGAATCTTCCCTTATATAGATATGTCATGAAAATAAAAAAAAACTGTAAAATATATGAGATGAGTAATAGGAGGTTGTTTTTTTTTACATCTGTGAGACAACAACCCAACATCACACACCAAATAAAGACATTTGAATTCAACATGTTGTCTCCAACAACAAAAATGTCATTACCATCAGGAGAGCTCCAAATTACAATAAGTCTTGACAAGCAATAAATAATCTCATAGGTCCCTTTTGTTCATATAACTCTTCATGTCTTTTGGACATCCTTGGCTTTCAAAGGTTATGATTTGGGCGTTTCTAATAAAGTTAACTCCAGAAAAGTGCTTTAGACACACAAAATTAATGGTTAACAAAGTCCACCATAAAAATAACAGGTTTTTTGGTGTAAAGTATGGCTCTGTGGGTCCTACAGTACATTTAAAACATTGGACCATAATAGATGATTTTCCATTCTTCAAGATTCGGAAACATTTTATTATGATAGTCCCTTTTGTTTTATACTACATATACAAGCATTATCTGTCATTTGTAGAATAAACATGTTTCTGATTTTTCTTGGAAATTTGAACAACTCTCTTTCAAATTACTAGTTAAATGTATTTTTGAAAATTTTAAACCTTATACTTAATCTTTTTTATCTAAAATTTGTATACAAAAGCAAGCTCAGATATTGCTTTGACTGAAAATGGTTAGTTCTCTATAAGAAGGTTGTCATAAAATGATGACATAATGCACACATTTGCTCATCTTCAAAAGGTATGTTCAAAAACAGAAAACTCAGCATTTCCCTGCCTTAATCGGATAATACAAAATAAAAGTTTTTACAAATGAAATACAAATATTTGTCTGGAGATAACAGCAGTATATGGCATTTATGTATTTATGCGACGCTTCCGTTATTACATAAAATGCAAGTGAAGATACTTGGTCCACAATAAGAACAGAAATTAAAACTTATTTTGCTTTGCTTAACCAAATTTATAATTAAATGATTAAATGAAAAATGAGTTTTGAGATAAACATCAAATTGTGCACTTTAAATTTCATTCTTCATCTGATTATTAAAACCTCTTTTAAATGTAATAAAAATAATTTATATGTTGGTTTTTTTTTTTATATAAAAATTCTTGATTATAAGTTTATGCCTCTATTTGATGTAAATTTGCAGATTTTGTTTTCATCCCTTGTACATTGAATATTTATGCTTTTCATAACAATATACGCACAAAAACACATTTATACAAAATGAAATTTTGATTTGTTTCCCTTCAGCTCGATGATCATCAAAAATAATGAGAATATTGTGTAAATGATCGCACTGAAGTAGAAACTTGAAACATTCTTTTGAAATTGATTGGGTTTCTTCTTTTGTCTTAATAAAAAAACTTAACTGTTATTGTATCATAATTCATTTATTAGGTGTGATTTCTCAAATCCCAGAAACATGCTCAAACATACAAATATGGAAAATCTTTAATTTTGAAAGAAAGTTAAATTTTTTTCTTTTGTAAAGTCTCTTTGATGTGTTGCAAGATGGGAAACTTTCACAAAACAAAAACAGGAATAATATTATTGAAGCTGTAAATATCTGTGAGATTTATATGTACCATTTACACTGATGTTGGTAACTTGGTATCATATGTTTATTATATGAGGGTCCTCCATGGTAAGTGGTCCAGAGGCAGATTTTGGAGGGGGGCAGGGTGTTCCCCCCCCCCCCCCTTGCCTACCCCCCTATGAAGCTACATTTATGGTTAATCCGGACTTTTGACCGGTTCCACGCCAAATTTGTCTAGTTCGGTGGCCGCATGCCCCCCTTTTTATACGCCCGTTTACGGGACGTATTATGGTATACCTCTGTCCGTCCGTCCGTCCGTCCGCCGTCAACATGTCGGACATTAACTCAAAAACGCTTTAACTAATATGCATAAAACTTTGGTGAATTATTTATATCTATTGACGTGAGCTCCCTTTCGTTTTTTATAAATTTTAGATTTTACGTTTCCGAGTTATGGGGT